AAAAAAACTTACTTTCTTTTTTGGTTTGTCCTAAAATAAAGTTCCATTCTATTTAAGGAAAGCATTGACTGGACATTATTTTTCTCTTCTCTGCGTACATTTTCACTTTTTTTTACAACTTCTGTTAAACTCCGTGAAAAAATGCAAAGATTAATATGGTTCAAAGGGAGTGTTTTGATATATGTTTCACTTTCATACCTGTTGAGTCTCAAATTAACTAAAGAAATGATGTTCATCCTATTTGCAGAGAGTGTGGACTTGAAGTGCAAGCTGTAGGGATATGGCTTTTAGGGTAGCCACACTAAGGAGCTGCTGCGACAACAGAAAAAGAAGAACGGCAATCCCAGTAAAACCGCACGAAAGTAGGGTTTGGAGAGGGTGATATGTATCCAAAACTCACCCCTACTTGGAAGTATGCCTATAAACTCTCAAGCACATTATGTAAGTTAGTAGGGTTTGTGGCAGAGTGAAATTACCACACTTGTTCTGTTGTGGCGGGATTCGGAAAGAGGCAGCACAGTAGAGGGAGGAGGATGATGAAATGAGGGAGTAGATATGCACTTTTCATTGCTGAACCAGCACTTTCAGTGAACCATTAGCAAACAGTTCAAAGTCTGATTTTTTTTAAAATATTAAAACTACACTTTTTCTTTGAAGATTTGCCATTGGTGTTGTGTTCAAATGGTTTGTTTAGTAGAAAAATCTTCAAAGTATTAGCTTTGTTTGACTTGTCATAATGTAAAACAGGTTACATATTTGCAAGATCATCATATTCACTTGAATAAGACGTAAGGTAAGGAATATTAACACCACGACCTCCTCTTATAATTGGGTCTCGGACTCAGGGTTGGCCCAACAACTTATGACTTCATTTTTAAAAATTTCAGGTTACTTCGGGTTCGGACTACTTCATGTTCGGGTCAATGCGGGTTCAAGTAGAGAACTATATGTTCATCACCATTATCATTCGGTTTGGGTCGACCCAACGGGTTATGACTTTGATTTTAAACAAATTTTAAGTTCATATTAACACTTGCATTTTTCTTTAAGTAAAATTAAAATATCAAAAAAATGTACTATATCGATTATATTATTTTATTTTAAATTATGAAATGATTTTACCTCTTAGATCGATATAATTTGAAGCTCCAAACAATTGAAATACAATCTAAGACGAATATTTAGGCTCGAGTTTCTTGATGCTGTTATATAACCACTACCTTCATCGCTCACATCTGCCATGTGAAACTTCAAACAATACAAATCAATCACCCAAGAACAAAAACATTATATACATATATATATAATGTTTTGTAGTGATGTTTATGTTTAGCTTATACTCCCAATAAAAACTTACTTTCTTTTTTGGCTTGTCCTAAAATAAAGTTCCATTCTATTTAAGAAAAGCATTGACTGGACATTATTTTTCTCTTCTCTGCGTACATTTTCACTTTTTTTTCAACTGCTATTAAACTCCGTGAAAAAAATGCAAACTTTAATATGGTTCAAAGGGAGTGTTTCAATATATGTTTCACTTTCACACCGGAGTCTCAAATTAACTAAAGAAATGATGTTCATCCTATTTGTAGAGAGTGTGGACTTGAAGTGCAAGCTGTAGGGATATGGCTTTCAGGGTAGCCACACTAAGGAGCTGCTGGGACAACGGGAAAAACATAGGGCCCACATCCGGCTTCCATAACTTTGCTCACTCCATTGCACAATCAATTCTAATGAACAGCATCATCTTTGGCAATTCCATAGCGCCAATAAAGGCCTAGTCTGCAAATCAGGAAAGGATTGAAGGAAAAATCAGGAAAGGATTGAAGGGAACATTGCTTACAGATTCCAAGATATCACTTTCTTCAATGGGTCTATGGAACTAATGGCCGTCCCTAAAAAGAAGCTTCATCCTCTAACAACTTCCTTAACATGATAATTAATTTTGAACACGCTGAAAGTACCATTCACCTATCAAAAGTCTCCTCCATATATCCTGATGCCACCAAGCCGCATGGATGAGTCAAGGATCCTGGACCTTGACCGAGCAAAATATCAAACAAGGTGGCATCAAAAGAGAGTCAGAAGGGCCAAACTGTACGACTCTCGGATCGGAAAGTCACGGGAAAAGTGGCTAAAGCGTGAAACTATGGACGTTAAAGAAGTGCTTAATGGGTGCGTGGCAACCTGTCATTCAATTAACCCAAAATAATTAAATTAAATCAATAGTTTGATTTGTTATTTACTTGCCGCACTAGTTTTGGGGGCAAGATTTTACTTGTTTTGTTTTTCTGCCTTGCAGATGGATGTTGCTTGGATGATTCTGCATGCAAACTGCTGCACATTGCAGAGCATGGAAGAGCTCCCCTTGCACTCAGAGCAAGCAAAAAAGAAGTTTCTCACTTGGGGAAACCCTAAGATGCTCCACCCTCCCATGGTGTTAGACTCTGCTTATCTGGACGAACTAGGGCACTGGCAGGACATTGATGACTTGTTGTATGACCCAAAATGGAGAATCATATTGTTCTTGCATGCACCAGCCGGAAGCTACCATTGAGTTTCTATGCTCCCTTCGCTTCCTCAATAACGGAGAGGAAGCAAAGTCGGCAGCCGAGGTCACCTCCACTACCAAGATCACATTCACGCTAATGGGTCGATTGTTGAACTTAGCTGTGGCATACTTAGGGTCGTTGTTCGGTCTATACACGCTTGATGAAACTCCAAGCCTAGCCTTTGCCAATCTTCCCGACCAATTGGACCCAGAATTCAATGTTAAGAAGTTTTGGCAAGCTCACGGGAATGGACGATTTCACAGTGGAGCAAGCCTAGCTAGGAATTGGGCGCGTCTGTTTTGGAGAATTCTGCACCATGTATTGGCTTATAGCTATTTCGGCCGTTCTCACGCCCTGACGTGGTGTTTGAATCTGATATGCTATTTTTTTGGAGTGTGGAAGCACGCGTACTAGTAAATTTAGCAACTTTTGTGGCTCGATTCTTGTTTGCTCAGTTTACTTACAATCACCAATTTGTCTTGTGTGGGCCAATGGTTACACTCTTGGCCCGAGGATTACGTATGACGGTTCCCGATGTTCTTCCAGAATCTGTGAGCATGTTTCGACCACCAACAGGGTATTTGGCCCAGATTGCATACAATGATGAAGACAAGGAGGCACGTCCAAAACGGCAGCATACCATTCCTATGTCTCTTCGCGAGCTCTCTCAGGCTATGTTTGCATTTTAGGATTCTGTGGACTCCCGTTTGAGGAGCATAGAGATTCTCACTCATCAGTGGCAGGTGGAGAAAATACTCGATCATATCCGAGAACAGGGAATGAAGAAAATGGAGCATGAGACTTGTCCTAAGCCAAGCAAACGTTAGGGATAGTGAGATCCCTATCTGAAAACAAACTAAAGTGGTGCATGCAACATCAACTAGAAATTAATCACGTACCAAATAGAATAAACACTGTAAATATCAATTTTCTACTTTAAATTTTAAATCAATTCTTTCACTTCAAAGCTAGGTAGAAATTAATTTTATTTAATATCAAAACTTTGAATTAACTAAGGTCTCAAAACAATTTAAAAGAAATAAATAGAGCAGCAAAAAGTGGTTAGAAATCCTAAGAAATAATCAAGTAAAAAAAAGCTCAAGAAAACCATATGAAGATTATGATGTTAGACGCCTCGCACACCTCTAGAGGGGGGGTGAATAGAGGTGTTGCCCAAAAGACCAGTTTTTTGCGCGGAAACGTTCTTCACGAATATTCAATAAAATCAATGCACCACAAACAAAATAAAGTGAAGGATAAGAGCATTGCACACACGATATATACTGGTTTGGCCTAATGCTTACATCCAGTCCCCGAAGCAATCGTGCCCAGGCCTTCACTAACCCGTCAAACTTAACGAAGTTTGACAATCCGAATACAACTCGAGAACTTGATTTCACAAGCCTCTTATCTTACCACCGAAGTTTTGATTTCACAAAACTCGGGATTTCTTCCACCTAACGTTTGATTTCACAAACCATTAGGATTTCTACCCCTTGGTGTAATCCCAACACCAAGAATACAAATCCCTTACAATAAAGTAAGAAAACAAACCGCAACCGAGTAATTCTCCCAACACGGAGTAGATTGTTGCAAATACAATGAAGTCCTTTAGAATATGGCAATATCTCTCAAAGACTCAAGCAATGAGGAAAAACTCAAGCAAGAAATGATTTAGCAATCAAAACAATTGCCTTGCTTGGATATAAGTAGGGGATTGAGTAGAATCTCTTTGGATATTCAAAGGATATGTTTTTCAAAGTTTTCTAAGTGTTTCTTATAAAGATAATCACGAAAGTAGATAGTTTATAGAAGTTAGGAAGTGGATAGGAATGAAAAGCATTCAAAAAACTAGCCGTTTAGTAGTTGAAACTGTCGAACTATTCGACTAAATCAAGATTTAGTCGACTAGTTTTGGTGAAACTGCAATCTGACTTATTCAACTAGTTCTGGATTTATTCAACTAAGTCAGAATAGAAGTTCAGGGATTTATTCGAATAGTTTTCAATTTATTCGAATAGTTTGCTGAAAAAAATGTCTTTTAAAGGTAGGATGATAA